ATCAATATTGCTTTTTTTCGATATAGAATTCCATTCTACTTAATTCTTTAAACTAATTTTTTATTCATTAATAGTATACTCTGTGTAAGTATATATATTATTATAAATGTATGTGTACATTGTTTTGTATTAGTTAAATACTGAAATATTAAAATATTTAAATAAATCTGACATCGCAAAGTAAATGAATCTTCATGAATCGCTCGAAAAAAAAAGTCAAGAACAATTTGGGTTGCAAAAGGTTAAACAAATATCGTTTTGATTTATCATATGTATTTTAATTTGTACGCGAGAGATTCAAAATTAAATTTATAGTGAATCACTTTCTTTTTCTTTTAGCTTTTCTTTTCGCCTCTTTCCTCCGGAGAACCTTGCGCCACCATCGTTGGATTAACTTCGCTGCACGTCCTCGTCCAAATGCAATCAATCGCTCGTACAAACGTGTCACCTCGGCCTCCTCTTTCCGTTTGACGAAAGTGGCACACATTGCTTCTTGCAATTTGATCTCATGCTGCAATTCAGACATATCATCATGAAATATATTTCTTCGTTTAATTCTTGAAGAATCTCAATTTTCTTTTCAGAGATTCAATATAATTTTACAGAAGAATGTCACAGATACATGTAACTAGTTTCAAAATTTTTATTTGGAGTAATTTCAGTAAAATTAATTAAATTTTATTGTGAAACAAAAAAAGAAGATTGTAGTAAAAACTGTCTTTTTCATAATGAGCGAAATGTAACAATAAATGTAACTATATAGTTTCAGAATTACTCTATTGAACAACGTTCATTCAAAATATTTTAATTTTATATCTACATACAGTGGCAATACAAAAGTTTTGAGCCACACAATTTTATATCATACATTCGTTTCATAATAAGCGCTAAAAACTTCGCACATATACAGGGTGTCTTATAACTAATGTTGCAGAACTCGTGGAGATATAGAGCGGGTTAAGACAAATATAAAAGTCCCATACCGTTTTGTGAGATTCGCAATAATTATCGAGTTATTAATAACAGAAATCTGGGGAATGAGCGCACGCCGAAACATTATGGGAGGAGCATCAAGCTGTTCAGGCTAGAGTGCTATCCAGTCGACCTAGGAATTGTTTCCAGCGCACGGTGAGAAGGACAACGTACCGATGCTCATGTCCTTACTTCGCCGCTCTTAAGTCCCGCCGCACCTCGTCTAAGCTCGCGTCGATATGGCCGCTAAATATTCGCGATTACAATTACGAGATTATTTTATGAGGTACTACAGATAGCTCATATTGAATTGTAAAGTTCAAGGTTCAAGAGTTCTTTGATCAAGGAAAACATTGAAAAAGAGAAAGCGATAGAGAGCGATGAGATTTATAGAGATTCTCATTGTTTTCTATCGCAACCTATGGTTTCGCTGCATCAAATCCGGAAGAAATGATATCGTGTAAAGATAGAGTATGATAAACTTTCTTCATCGTACTCTATTGTACTCTATTATTAGGAGAATATTTAATTGTTAGAATATGATAGAATTCACGTAGAGATTCATCGTGTCCTACCGTTTTATTCAAATTTACACGGAGAAAAATGTTCGAAGGAACGAAGATGGCACACTATATCACCGAGTTTACCGAAAACCCACACATATTGACCGATATCTACACGCAATCACCATCCAGCACAAAAGAAATCTGTCATCAGTTCCCTAACAATTTCTAAAACAGCTTCCCTAGATGAAGAATTAGGATACCTCAATCAGGCCTTAACTAACAACGGATATAACAATAAAGACATTAACCAAATAACCTATAAACTGAAGAATAAAATTTCGGATCCGAACAATATCCAGAAGCTAGAGCAAGAAGGAGAAAAAACTGAGTCACCAGAGGAAGAAAGAGAAAAGAACAAGACGGTTGTCTTCCCATATCTTCAAGGTACAACAGAAAGTATTGGCAGAACTCTAAACAAACATAACATCAGTGATTTTCAAGCCACCAAAAAAGATCTCACAATTACTCCCAAATCCGAAAGACCAGAAACTACATTTGGACACACTAGGTGTATATCTGTAAATACAGATCTGTAAATATGAAACCGGAATTTGCCCATAGATGGCCCTAGCTGTCAATGTAGTTACCATCAAACCGCGTCATTGGCGCCATTTCTATTTGTTGACATCTGACAAAGATTTTCAACTCAACAATACAAGTTTCATACAATAGCCATAGTTTGTAGCGTTGAACATGTCGAATTTTGTGCTTGGAAGCTACGATTTGCGGACAGCATTGATTTTCTGTTATCATTTGAAGAAAACTGCTGCAGAATCGCATTGAATGCTTGTCAAAGCTTACGGTGAGCATGCTCTTGGTAAATCACAGTGCTTTGAGTGGTTTAAAAAATTCAAACGTGGCGATTTTGACGTGAGAAACGAAGAACGTGGAAGACCACCGAAAAAGTTTGAAGACAGCGAATTGCAAGCATTGTGGGATGAGGATGACGCTCAAACGCAACAACAACTCGCGGATCAATTAAATGTGACACGAGAAGCCGTCTCCATACGTTTGAAAGCCATGGGAAAGATCCAGAAGATGGGAAAATGGGTTCCACATGAACTGAATGAAAGACAGTAGGAAAACCGAAAAACCACGTGCGAAATGCTGCTCGCCAGGTACAAAAGAAAGTCATTTCTCCATCGAATTGTGACTAGCGATGAAAAATGGATATATTTTGAGAATCCTAAGCGTAAAAGATCATGGGTAACTTCAGGCGAACCATCGACATCGACTGCAAGGCCAAATCGCTATGGATGGAAGACAATGCTCTGTGTTTGGTAGGATCAGAATGGTGTGATCTATTATGAGCTGCTAAAACCTGGCAAAACCGTTAATACTGAACGCTACCGACAACAAATGATCGATTTGAATCAAGCTTCGCGTGAAAAACGACCAGAATATCAAAAAAGGCAACATAAAGTGATTTTGCTTCATGATAATGCACCATCACACACAGCAAAACTGCAAGGAAACGATTAAGGCGTTTAGTTGGGAAATACTTTCGCATGCGGCTTACTCACCAGACTTGGCTCCGTCCGATTATTACTTATTTGCATCGATGGGACACGCACTTGCTGAGCAGCGCTTCACTTCTTACGAAAATGTACGAAAATGGCTCGATGACTGGTTTGCCTCAAAAGAGCAACAGTTTTTTTGGTGTGGCATCCACAAATTGTCAAACAGGTGGGAAAAATGTGTTAGCGATGGGCAATACTTCGAATGAAATATTTTTTATCATTTTCATACAATAAACGTGTATTTTCTATACAAAAATTCCGGTTTCATATTTACATACCTGGTATAAGATCTCTTATTCCTGCGGAAAAGTATATATAGGAGAAATCGGGAGGAGAATTAGTACACGGATCAAGGAACACAAGCGATGTACCAAGTACAGTCACTTTTCTCAATGTGCCTTGGTTGAAAACTGGATGGAAACTGGGCATATTGTGCAGAATGACAAAACAACCATTCTGGCTCCCTCATAAAACTATGTCAGAAAACATCGAGAGCTGGAAACTCTGAAACATCCCAACAATGTTAACCGAGATGAAGGCTTTTCAGGTGGGCCCTATTTGGCACGCTGTCCTCCCGGTTTTTTAATTGATCAGCTGGCCAATTAATATGATTGGTCGAAACATTTCCCCCATCCCATTCCTCCAACTCCCACTTAGAAGAATGGAAGAGTACATAAAGACAACCGCAAACCAGGAAGATTCAGTATCTGAGCTCCTAGTTCTGATGATGCAAGCTGCAATGTTTGCGAAACGTCGGCAAAAAGCTGAATTACGGTATCCATTCAGAAGAAATACATCCTGATATCAATGGCCGCGAAAGTCTAAAAACTAGGATTCAAGTCCAGTGATTGCGATGGCCAATCAAGAACTCGTATTTATTTCATGACGAAAAATTCTTTTATTAGTTTTGATGAATGTTTGAGATTGTTATCTTGTTAAAAAATCCAATCAGGTGGTATATTTCGAGTTGTATATGGCAGCATATGCTGTGTCAATATATCTCGATACATTATAGCATTCACAGTACCCGTGATCTCAACCAATGGACCAACTTTATTATAAAAAAATGATCCCCAAACCATCACGTTACCTTCACCATGTTTTACGATAGGAATTTGGTATCTTGAGTTCTTTGACTCGTCAGAGAAAAATACTGTTCGCCAAACAACTTCAATCCAATGTTCATATTTTCTTGCAAAATCTAATCGAGTTTTCTTATTTTTTATATTAACTAGAATACTACAGGCGCGCGCTACGCACGCGCCATTTTAGCATATTCATATTACAGTTTAGAATAAATATTATAAATAAAAAATAAAACCTGGAATATAATATAAGTTCAAAAATATCCGACTCCAACATACGATGTATTAGGCGCATACATTTTGAAATTCCATGACATATTTTCTGCATAGTAACGCATAACCGTATAACCAATGAAAATTTCGACGTTTAGAATTTCTATTCAAGACCATCTTAAGCTCTCTCTCTCTCTCTCTCTCTCTCTCTCTCTCTCTCTCTCTCTCTCTCTTTTTTTCTCTTTATGTCTTTTTCTCTTTGTCTCTCTCACTCCCCAGGTAGCAAGCAGACGTCATTTTGACGTTAAAAACTGGTCACTTTTAGTCATATGTCGTTAAAATGTCGTCAAAATGACCAATTTATATACGATCATTTACATGACTTCTAATTGATGTCAAAATGCTATACCACTTTGACGTCATATTTCAGTTATGAACTGACGATAATTGCGTACTAATATAATAACTAATTATTTATAACGTTGATTCCGTAATAACAATTCTTTAAAATTTCGTATCAGACTTTCGATAAGTATTAAAAGAGGTTTGTTTATATATAAATATATTAATATACAAATATATAATATATATATAAATATATTTATATATTTTATATATAAATATATTTGGCATATTCCTTTAGAACGAAAAATGTACGTCAATCAAATGCAAGAACTCACTTAGCGTTCAGTGAGCTGAACGCTTGTAGTACTGAATGCACCCATTGGTCGTGCTGGCTTCGCGTGTTCCGTTCTCCATGGGCGACTTTAAGCACTCGACGTGGAAAAGTGCAAATGGCGATCAGTGAAATATCTCTCTCGTTCGCTCATTCGCAAATTAGTTACTGTGTTAGTGCATATGTCATGCAGCTTGTGCTTATACAACTCAAGAGGTTGAAGACTGAGTATTGAATGTAAGTACCTGTTAAATGTGTATTTTATCATTAACCTTGAAAATCACGTCATGGAGAGTAATGGGAATCATGGCCTTTTGACGCATTTATGCACAGATACTTTTCAATCTGTGGGGAGGGAGAAGCTCGATTACATTCAGTTTATCGTAAAAATATTGCTATTTATATTGCACGATAAACTGATTATAGGCTGAGCACTGTTACGTATATAGTACCGCAATGTATATAGTTGTATTATCTTATGTGAATCATCGCAACAGCGACCACGACGTATATTCTTCCATACCTGCCTTATCTAATCCTGATGACCGATCTCATCCTAAAATAACAAACTAATAGATGTCATATCCCCGAATTCCTGCCGAATCTCTCATCATCGGCCATGACTACCCTCGCGGGAATTTTATCTTTTCCCTTCCCTTCCTTACCGTCATTTTTCCTATGCTCACCAGATTAGTTCCCTGCTAGCACTCTTCAAGCGAACACCTAGCCCCTCTCTCTTTCGAGCAGTATTACACTCTTGTTGAGAATTATAAAATAAAGTCAGTTAACAGTCGGAGGCATAAAAGCTGATTTCTCGTTCCTTTCCAATATTCGTTTCGCCGTATCATAAGCTGTGGCAAACGTAACAGCACACAGATAAAAAAGTCTCTGTGGCGTAGGTGTGCCAAAAGGCCAAGCCCCACAAAAACATACATGGATTCCATGTGGAATGCACGTTGTATTCACGTGAAATTCACAAAATCACATGGATTTCACGTAGACACAACGTTCCTGTTTTCGTGGGGGAGATTCCCATCACTGGTCATGCCCAATGAGAAGGGGACGTGAAATCTAGGTAGATTTACGTTAATAGTTTACTTAGGTTAAATACGTTCAATGCAAGTTAAAATAAAATTAATCTGAAGTAACTTATTTGCAACTTTGTTAATATAGTTTCACAATGTCTTGTGGGTATTCAATTTGTCAGTAATACTCATGAAGAAGGTACAATTGCATTGATTCATCGATCATGGTTTACGCCTCTGGAAAGTCAAGTCTGGTGGCCTCCATACAAGACAAGTGTTCAATTTAAAAAAGCACTGTTTACTGAAGAACAAGTAAACGAAAATACATGGGCATTGTATGAGGTGAAACGTATATTTTTTACTTGTGGTATGTATTTTATGTATAACATTATACTCGTTTGTTATTTCTACAGTAATATAAATATATTTCAAAGTATTGTTATTTATATACAGATGAATTTGATAAGGCCTTTAAAAAACTAAAAGAATGTGAAGAAGTGTCTGATTTACAATCTACTGAAGTAGAAGATGACGTACAAAGTAAGAAAAGAAAACACAAACCAAATTTAAAATATATCATAAGTAGTGAAGACGAATACGATGAAAACTGTGGTTCTCTACAGCCACTAGCAAAACTTGATAAACCAGGCAAACTTGATAAACCAGACAAACATAATTTACATTTATAAGGATAAGAATATTATCATTGTTTTTCCCTTCATTTATTCTTGTACTATGTTACAATATGATAAAATATTATGCACAT